ATTATGTGTGTCATGTGCTTCACGTCATGCTGGATGGCGGTAGTGTTTTGCCGTCGTGTGATAAAACCCAACTCGGCTTCTCAACTCGATCACAAGTACTACACAGAGTTGCTATAGACAGCCCGTGAACAATCGAATGAATTCCATTCGGCAGGCATTTTTGAACCTGCCAACGCAAAGTAATTCACATTTGTGACGTCGGTCCGCACCATGCACGGCGGAGCTCACAGTGCATGTAGCTCTGCGTGGCCGAGCAATCCCATGTGACCCACGGCGCGCTCCTGCATGCGAAGGTTAAAGATGCAGCTCACAGGAAAAACTTGCGTCGCATGTCTTCGAACTACGGCTGGTCAGTCAAATGTCGGCCCTGGATTGGCCAGCTCTCGAAGTTCGAACCCAATCACACTGGAATTCGGCAATATCTGATCTGTCATTTCTGCAGCGGCGAGCGCGATGGCCAACTACCTCACGCAGGCCGTGATCCCGATGGCCATCATCGTCATTGGGCTTGCGTGCTTTGTGTACTTTTGCATCTTTAAGCTCATGACAAAGCCGATGTCCTTCACGCTCGGCCGTCCGCTCCTCTCGAACGAGTACAGTATCCCAACGACTTCCGAGTGGCCAATTCACCGACCGCGCGTAGCTTTCTCGGTGCCATCCACGGTCTCAATCGCCAAGACATTGAAGAATTGTTCGCAGTTGGATCACAGACGACCTCTCACAGCAGCTCGGTAGGATGACTCACGCCGCCAAGTGGCGCTGCGTCGTGTGCGCGTTTGAAAATGCCGACGTGTCGACGACGTGCGTGCTCTGCGACTCGGCCAAAGGTCTGTGCCCGTCACTAGCACCAATGTCTCACATCGCTACGACGTGCAGACCTCGAGAGCCCACCACTGAAACGATCGCTGGCCCAAGAGGCTGCCACGTAAGAAGAAGAACGACCTCGTCCTGTCGGTTGACGATCGCGTAGGCGCCGCCACGACTGGAAGCGGGCCTTGGATGCGCACACTGGCCACGTCATTTGGAGCGCAGTACCGCAGCACGCGTCGTTCGTACCACACGCAGTGCGGCCGCAACATGACGTGGAGATTGCAGTCGATGCCGAGACGCCCCACGAGCTCGAGCTCACGATTCTGCGTGTGCGGCAGCCGCGCGACGGCGCCGCCATGTCCCTTCTTGGAACGCCATGGCCAGCGTGGTTCATCCCGCAGCTTGCCGCACTTCAAGCGTCGTCCTTCTCGACCAAGTATCTGTGGTTTCTCACCCAGCTCGACGCCTTGCCGAGCGCGAGGTATTCTAGCGCAACGTTCCTGTCTCGTTGATCGATCTCTCTCATGCACGACTAGCATTGCCAAGCTCTCGGTACACCGAGGCAAACTACTCGACGGCTCGATGCGGTTGCTGGAGCAGCTCCCGCTTGACCAGCTCTGCGCACAAACCCGCATTGAGCTTATTGGCGAGATCGGCGTCGATGCCGGCGGCCTCCAGCGCGAGTGGTACACGATGCTCACGCAAGCCATCTTGGACGAGAGCGCTGGCTTGTTTGTGGCTACCGACAACTACAAGTACACGATTGCGCCCCGTTCGTCGGTGCCGCCCACTCGGTATCGCTGCGTCGGCCGACTCCTCGGGCGCGCCTTGCTTGACGGCCAAGTCCTTCCGTTCCACCTCTGCACGCCCATGTACAAGCTCCTCCTCGGTCTTCCGCTCTCGCTTCTCGACGTGCAATTTATGGATCTGCAGCTCTACAAGAGCCTTCTCTACGTCCAATCGACGCCGGACGTCGCGGCGCTGAGCCTCGACTTTACCGTCGCAATTGACGCGCAGCACGTCGTGCCACTCGTACCCGGCGGTGACACCATGGCCGTCAATGTCGACAACCAAGCCCTGTACGTCCAAGTGATGGCCGAGTACATTCTTTTCGGCCGCATCCAGCGCCAAGTCGAATATTTTCTCGCTGGGTTTTTCGAGGTAGGACGAGGCGTGGAACGCTAGTGTTGATGGTGTTGGTAGGTGCTCTCCCCCGAGTGGCTTGCGCCGTTCGACTACAAGGAGCTCGAGCTCCTCCTCTGCGGCATTGCAGACATCAGCGTCGACGATTGGAAGCAGTATACGTCCGTCTCGGCGGTCTTTACGACCACCGACGCCCTCGTGCTGTCGTGGTTTTGGGACGCTGTCGCCAACATGACCAACGCGGAGCGTGCCAAGCTGCTCCAGTTTGCGACAGGCTCGACGCACGTACCTGTCCAGGGCTTTAAAGGTCTCACGAGCACGGACGGCCGACTCTGCCCGTTCTCGATCAAGGCCATCGCGTACGAACCCGGCCTGCTGCCGCGGTCCCATGCGTGCTTCAACCGGATCGACTTGCCCGTGTACCCGTCCCGCGACGAGCTCAACGCGGCGCTCCAGCTCTTACTGCAGATGGACATGACCGAGTTTGCACTTGTCTAGTATAGTGTAACCTACTGCTTTAACTGCAGTAGCACTGACTTTGCGTTCTTGGCGAGGGAGGACCACCCGATTTATGATCCACCTATTTGGAGCAGCTAGCTTGTGGCCAGCGATCGCATCCAGCTCATCTCGACGCGACAACAGCAGTGCGTGCGGGAGAATGGAGAGAGAAGACGAGTGGGACCTATAAAATGTATGGTGTGCCAGGATGGGCCCAGAGACGCCGCACGTACACTGGCCTGCGAGCACATATTAGTGTCAGTGTCAGACTCATGTCAGTACCCTGAGCTCGTAGCCATTGGCGCTTGCTGATCGTGAAGGGCGCGGTCACGCAAAGCATCGTCAAGTGGTCGGCACGCTGGCATCAGTCCAGCTGTCAAGCTGGCTGTCAAGATACTTCTTCGATCCAAGCTACAATTCCCTTGCATCGTCCATGAGTCAACTGCAAGCGACATCGATAAGGTAGACTTACAGTTTTCCACTCTCGACCGTCGTGCCATCCATGCTTTCGAGTGTTTTCGAGTCCGTCGATCATTGGCTGCACTCGCAAGCAGGTTGTGGTCCGCGACAAGTGTACTTGGATATGGCAATTGGTACCATGCAAAACCAAAGACACCACGGCCCTCCGAGGCTCCGAGAGCGCGACAGCGAAATGGCGCGCTGCTTGCATCTTCAGCATCGGTAGGCGTATACCACCAGGATACACCCTTGGTGTCCCGCACGTTGGCTTGCCATGGCCGGTGATCGGTCGTCGGCAGATCTACCTGCCATCGTGACACACCTTTCTGCCGCCAGCGCGCTCCATGCGGGTCGTCGTCGCCACAACTGCATTTTCTCCGCAATGACGAGACGTCGGCTCGTATCGCTGTGCGTTGCATTCCTGTTCGTGTCGGTGCGCAGCTTTGGCGTCTGCTACGACTCGTACGACCCGAAGAGCGTGGACGCGCACTTCAAGACGATCAAATCGCGCTTCTCCTTTGTGCGCACGTACGACACGCGCTTTTGGAACGGCGTCAACGCGATCGACGTCGCGGCAGCCAATGGCCTCACGATTCATGCCGGCATTTGGCTCCGGTCTGGCGAGCAAAAGATTGCCGACGATGTCAACGCGATCGTCGAAGGCCTCGGCCGCAACCCCAACAGCGTCCCGATCGTCTACGTCGGCAACGAAGACCTCACGAACGGCTGGGACCTCGCTATGGTCAAAGCCCGAGTCGACTCGGTGCGCGCGCGCCTCTCCGGCAAGAACGTGCTCGTTGGGTCGGTCCAAACGGACGGCGACTGGCTGCGCAACAGCGGTCTCGCGGCAGCGGTCGATGTCATTGGCGTCAACATTTACCCGTTCTTTGGGGCGTCCCAAGACTCCAAGACCAACCCGATCGCAGACCTGGACGCGCGCTGGAGCGCCATGCTGCGTGCATTTCCTGGCAAGCGCATCGAGCTCGTCGAGACCGGGTGGCCTCACGCCGGCCAGACGCTCAACGGCCACGTGCCCAGCTACGCGAACGCTGTCGACTACTTCAACAAAGTCCAGTCGTGGATCAACAACCAAGGCAAGGGTGGACAGCGACCGTCCTACTTTATGTTTCACGACAACCCCAACAAGGGTCGTGGCACGATCGAAGGCAGCTTTGGCCTCGCCAATGAGAGCGGGGAATGGAAGTTTGGCTTCGACAGCAGCCCAGCACCGGCTTCGACACCGGCCCCGACACCGACGCCGACACCGGCACCGGCTCCGACACCGCTGTTGCCGGACAACCTCCGCGCATCGTTCCAGCTCGTCACGGCCAAAGGACTGGTCGTTGCTCAAGTGAACGACGCGCTCTCGGCGGTCGCCAACACCAACCAAACTGGTAGCTTCTGGACGTACAACGCTGCGACGCAACAAGTGCGCAACCCGGTCGGGAACCGCTGCCTCGACGCCTACAAGGACAACGGCCAGGTCTACGTGCACCTGTACGACTGCGGCGACGGCAGCAACGGCAACCAAAAATGGCGGCTCCAAGATCAAAAGGTTGTTCATGCGACCCACTCCAACGTGTGTCTCGACGTCAACCCCACGGACCCGAGCGTCAAGGTCTTTGGATGCGTCGCCAACAACGACAACCAGCTCTTTGTCGTGACACCGACGACGCAAGGCGCGCGCTTGACCAACGGCGCGCTCGCCTTGGCTGCGGTGCAAGTCGGCAGCGATCAAGTGGCATTTACGACCAACGTGAACGACCCAAAGGCCTTCTGGACGGTCGACGCAACGACGGGTCTGGTCACGAATCAAGCCCTCAAGCAGTGCCTCGATGCATATCAAGCAAAAGACGGTGGCGCCGTGCACTTGTACAAATGTGACAGCACCAATGTCAACCAGAAATGGAGTTATGACGCCAGCACCAAGCAGCTCCGTCATGTGAGCCACCGCGGCTTTTGCCTCGACATGGCTTCGGACAGCGGGAGCTTCCCGCACTTGTGGTCGTGCCACGATGCAGCGAGCTCATGGCTCCGGCTTCAGCAGTTTGGCTACAGCGTCTAGGTCAGTTGTGTACATCGTAGTACCAGAAATAATCCACGCGTAATATACGCAGATTATTTGGATCTTATCCAAAGGGTGGCTATATTCAAGGTGCAAGTCGAGAGCTATTACAAGCAGTTGCCCATGGGGTCCCACACGGGCAGCACACGCGGCGTGCCGTCACACCACTGCGCAAGGTGCTCGGGAGCGAGGTATTTCTTGAGCACGACGACTTGGTACATGTGGTCGTCAAACCACGCGTCCGTCATAATGTCATATCTACACCACATAGCATAGTGTGGGCAATAAGACATTTTTCAGAGAGCGTACCCTGCATCGCCGCGCTTTTTGCCCCAACTGTTTTCCACCTTCCATTTCGTTGGGAGTGGCGATCCGCTGTAGCCTGTAAAGACCATGGCGTGTGTCATCGATCCATTCTACAAAAAGAGGACATCATTGTCGTTCCTACGTAGGACAATAGTGTACCTGGTACTCCATGCGCTCGCGCTTCGTCATGCTCCACTGCGTGCCAAACACTGCCTCCATTGCGTAGAGCTGCTTGGAGTAGACACCGTAGACCTCGAGCTCCGAGTCGGCGTCGCAGTCGCAGCCAAACCACACGGGGAGGTCGTCGTCGAGCTGCGCCTTGGCATAGCGCGCGAGGTCGGTCGTCGGCAAGTTGAGATACCGAATTGGGTTGCCTTCGACCACATTGCCGAGCTTCTCGACTAGTACAATCGCATGGCACAGAGTGTCGAAATATGAACAAAAATGTCATCAAAAATATCAAAAACAAAAATCAACCATAATTCAAACAAAATTCAAAAGAAAAAAAAACGAAAATCCAGAGCAAGGGGCCTACCTGTCAAAAGACTGCCGTACGCGTGGCGCGGATCGTTGACGATGCTCACATAGTCGTTCAGCGCAATTGGCACCACGTCCGTTAGAAACGAACGCGGCGTGCAGTTGAGCACGCTCACATACACCTCGTCCTTGTCGTGGGCTTCAAAGTCAAAGTGCGTTGGCGGCGACCCGAGAAAGATGCTCAAAATGCGGTGGCACACGCCGAGCATGCGCTGCTTGGCGGCCTTGAGCGCAGTGGGATCGGTCGCATGCAGTCGACGTAGCTCGGCCGCAAAGTCACGTAGCTTGGCGCTCAGAAACAGGTTGAGACGCTCCGAGTCTTCTGTGCACTTGGCTTCGCCATATACATTCTTGGGCACGGCGCCGTACTACGCGCAATATGAATATTTGTTGTGTGTACATACGAACGCGCCTTGTTGACAATGTTGACCAGCATGTCCCACTGCCCGCCGTCGTTGGTCGGGTCGGCGAGGAAGTGATGGACGAGGCGGTCGTCCACGCTGCAATCGGCGGTCGCGAGGATGTTTTCGAAAAAATAATTGCACTTTTCGAGCTTGTCCTATATAAACCAAAGAGGGGAATTTTGGGTCGATGGCGCATGCGCAATACGTAAAAGTAGAAGAAATTCTGCGAAATCTCAAAGTCGGGGCTCAGCGAATATTTCGTTTGGAGCGCGCGGCGAAGCAGCGTCGACGCCGCAAACAGCCAGCAGCTACGACACAAAACGACTCGCCACACTGGTAAGTAGAAAGGACGACGTACCGGCCCGTCTCGTTCTGGTTGCAGACCTTGGCGTCCGGCAGCTTCTTGGCAAACGTGTGCGTCAGCCGCTGCAGCTCGCGCCGGTCTACGACCACGTCGTACCAATTGGCCGACGTCATGGCATTGCGCGCAACAACGTTGCTGGGCGAGGCCTCAAAGGCCGCGTTGAGCTCCTCGAGGAAGGCCGGCGTCAGCGGCGTCGCTACGCCCAGCCCTTGCCCGTCAGCTAGTACTAGTCCGCCTGCAGGATGTACCTGGCATCGCTTGTGACAGACAAAATCGAAGTGTGTTGCGCGATCGTAGCCGTCCATCAACCGGATACGACTTTCGTATCCGGTTGGCACACTATTTCCGTACACTTGAAATAGAAGCGTGCCCGACCCCTAGTGCAAACTCGGTTGTGCCAACTCGGTTGTGCGTCGCTTGTCAGATTGTCGTCGATACTCGCATCCCACAATGTGTCCCAAGATGTAGTACAGCATCTCTAGCGCGTTTGATGAGGCAGAGCACGCCATCAACCCGCTCGCAGCGCACGTGCCGGCGTGCTGGGGCGGTCCCTTGTTCGGGCGCCTCGAAGGGGCCGACAACCAATTCGAGTAGTTGACGATGTAGCCGACGACGTCGCCGCACGACAGAATGAGTTTGCAGAGAAGCAGCTATTGTTGACTGGATACACGAAAGTGTTGCTTACAACTATCCAAGGACAACAAGAGTACTACCCGGTAGTACTTTGACAGTTTCACACTCGTCACACGGGCTCACTTGGTGCAGACAACTTGTCTGTTCTTGACAGCGTACGTGTTGCATGACGCAGCGTCGTTGAGCGGCTTTGCAAACGTGTACGGTGGGCTGCTCTTCTTGACGCACGTCGCCTTGGCGCCCGGCGCCAGACTGTCGCGCTCAATAAAGTCGCAGAGAGAGGCGAGGTTGGCATCGTTGGTCATCAAGCACGACTTCATGCCGTCAAGGCTCTTGATGGTTTGCGGCACAAAGTACGCACTCAAGCGGATGCCCGCAGCTTGGGTTGTGCTCTCGTACGAGAGTACGTCCCCGTTGGGTGCAAACCGCCAGCCGTAAAAGCACGAGCTGCAGTCGTAGATGCCCTGGATGTTCTTGATCGCATTGTACTGCGTGCATCGAAATGGGTTGATAGAGATCTTTGTCGACTTGGCATTCGAGCAGGCCGTGACACCGTCGTACGTCGAGCCCGAGACGACCCAGTTGTTGGTCGAACAGGTCGGCAAGCCCTTGATCGTCGACGGTGTGTACTCAGGGCTCCAGCTGCCAGGCAAGTAGACCCCTGTCTTTGTCGTCGCCATGGTCATGCCGAGGCCACAGCACGTGAACAGCACCAAACGCATGGGACAGTGTATTTGAAAATGAGATCCAACCGCGCCTTTTTGCACGGAAACGCCCGCCGCTTGGTTTCAAAAAATTCGGCGCGACTCGTCTCGTGATGCTTTGCGTTTGGTACCGCACGGTGCCCGCAGGGCGATGATGGCGCGGCCAGTGAGTTCGACGGCATCCGAGTCGGCTTGCTTCCGGTGAGCGCTTCCCGATCACTCTGAAGCGTTTGCTGCACTGCACACTGTCGAGTACTAGTATCTATCAATGCAAATGTATCTTGTCGCACCGATCAATCTAACGCTACCTCTCACCTATGAATACCGGTCCCATTGCTCTCAAAGTCCGATGCCAGACGATACAGGCTATGCGAGGCCCGCCGCAAAGCGTTGAGGGTTGTGAACAGAACAATACTGTACTAGGTGTCGTTGCGCCGGCATCGCCCGCCATAATTGATCGTGAGCAAAGACTATAGCAACGGTCTACACTTGGTATGATGGCGAGCACGAGTTTGCACTTTGAAAGTGCAATCTCGCTCGTTGAATGCCTTCCGCGACGGGACTTTGCTGGGAAGAGTTAGGCTGTCAAAATGATGCTGGAACAAGGTTTAAAAATGTAAAATGTACTTGCAATAAACTTCTTTAATCGTTTATTATTTCTATACAATGCGATTGCAAGCAGGCTTACGCGACCGTGCGCGAGGCGCGGACCGAGCGGGCGTGCTGCGTCACACGCGCGTGCGACTGCGACGGGTGGCCGGCGTTGATGCGCGAGTCGAAGGCCGTAGTCGAGTACGTGTTGGCGTTGAGGACGTAGTTGACGGCAAACTTGATCAAGTCGAGCGGGAAGTGCCACACGATCGACCACAACCAGGCAATCACGAGGTAGCCGCCGCCGCAGCCGAAGACGGCGATACGGTCCGACGGGTACCCGTTGAAGCCGTAGTAGCCGATGACCGACGCCACGATCTGGGCAAAGACGAACGCGATGAGGAGGAGGTTGCACGGCTTCTCGGCAAAGAACCACGTGTTGATACCGGCCGTGCGCGTGACGAAGATGAGCGCCTGGCCCGAGATCGACACCTGCGTGTAGACGAGCGAGCGGAGGATACCGTCCTTCTTCTGCATGCCGGGGCCGATGGCCTTGTTGCCCTTGGTGTACTTGGTGTTGAAGTTGGAGTAGTCCCACACAAAGTCGCAGAAGCTCACGCCGTTGGTCAACGGGATGTAGCCGCG